GGGATTATACCCGGAGATTCACGTGTGCATGAACAGAACGAAAATGACGATCGTTTTGCAAGATGACAGAAGCATTAGAACATCTGCCCTATGATTCAATGGCCTATCCAAAATTATATTCCGGTGAAGAAATCAGAGTTTACTCGAGTTATGAAAGGGAAGGAAACACTCTAATTAGTAGGCCTAAGCACCTACAGTTGCTAGAGAAGGCATATCTTCGTCTTACCTCGTGCTAAGCAAGCCTTTGCCTAAACTTCCTTGACATCGTAGGTTATTTTTTGCCCAGCAACAACCAATCCAACCAATCACACATCGCATATGAAGACCACCCACTTGTAATGCATGATGTAACAAGTTATTTTTAGCAGCGAGATTTTCTGTGTAGAACATGCGAGTCTTCATGCTGAGAATTAACGATCTCATCAGCCCTCTGGGCGGGTCTCTTTAGGGAGGAATTGCGGTGTTGTCTATTTTTAGAGGCAGCTGTAGAGTTGTCAAGCTGTGAATGAATCATCCGATTAGCCTACTGGGCGTGTCTCTTTAGGGATGGACCGCAGTGTTGCCTATTTTTAGCCGCAGCTAGCAATCTTGTTTAACAAGAATTTACAAGAATGGGCTTTCTATTCAACTTACGGCAACAAACGTGTGGTCTAATCAATTGGAAGAGTTTTAGGTCTGCTGAATTCAGAGCCAAATCCTATTATTTTTTGTTAGCATTTGTTAAATTAGCCAACCTAGACCTGGGACTTTGCCCGGAGAAATGCCTGTACACGGAGTTGAGCGTAAAGTCGGGGCTTGCTTGTGTATGTGTTTTGTGGAAAATGTGGACCTTGGGTAATTTGTGGGGAGGTGCGTACACACCAATCACACACCCCCTGTTGCTTATGGACCTGTATGTTGTATTGACTGTGTATAGTTTTTTATACCAATTTTCCTTTTTGGTCACTTTCCTAGTATCATAGCCATGGATATGACTGTCAAATGAAACAGTAAAACGCCACAGATTTCTATGAAAATTTGGTCAGAATAATGTAATTGTATTCTATTTAAAATATAGCCAAACTGTAGAAAGGGTGTAAATGTGTGAGATTTACCCATAACTCACAGTATTTTGTTTATATTTATATAGCTTATCTGTAGAACACTTGATGAAGGAATCTGGATGTACGTTAGAACACCCAGCTGCTGCTAAATTCCGTACTCATGTGATGGAAGGAAAGTGGAAGAGTGTGAGTATCTTGTAGTAACTTTATCCTGACTTTTACCATACTTCTCAATTAGTAAAATGCATTTCATAACTATGTCTTCAAATAGTTTTAAAGCACCTAATAATTTTCCTTGAGTGAAAAGTATTGGTTCCATGAAATTGCAGGTACAGTATAAGAAGAATTCCATATTGTTAATTCTATTTCAATTTGTTCACCCCAGAATAGGCCTATAGGTCTTGCCTTATTCATACAGTATTTATCTAAAAAAGTTGACGCCAAAAATATCTAAATTGGTCCCTCCGTAAGCTATACCTCAATAATAGGCTTACAATATTATATAATGCTGTAGTGTTGGAACAGATCAACGATGAGAAATTTTCCATGGCCAATTCCATGTAGCAGTTCTATTAGCAGGCTCTGACATTCTCCAGTCAGAGTATGCATGCAGACTTGAAACTACTTGGGGTTTAGGTTGACCACATGAATGACATCCCTGGACGGTGACATCCTCTATGTAGCACTTGCAGAATTTACGAATGTTATTTATAGAAATTATATACAGAACAGGCCTATCTGAAAAATTACTTCTATTTTGAGTAGAATACGTTTAACCTACGTATCCTACAACATCTAAAACATTCTTGCTTATCTTTATTGTTATTAATTAAACGGAAATAATATTCAGAATATATCGAAATGCGTTAACAAAATGTGATTGATGTAATTTATTAGATTAAAGAGGAATAAAGTAACATTGTTTTTCAGGTGTCTTTGGATCTGAATAAAATCTCTCTGTCAACACGCGTAATAATGATAATCAAAACATGTATAGTTATACCATGTTGGAAAATGAATGGTTCTAATTGTCTCACAGTACTTGCATGCACATGGTCTCTTATTGGTCTCTTATCGCAGCAGCATAAATCTTAACCCCAATGTCATGAGCACTCTGTAGAGAGAAAAAAAAAAAGATTATTAAACATTATTTAAGGAATCTTTGCAGCAGCAACGCATCTACATTCCTGAATTGTGGCGTACAAAGGAACGTTTCTCACTGAATTCGCTGTAACTAGGCGGCTTGCAGTACTGGCCTATTTCATGACAAATTAAAAGCAACAATACAAAAAAGTGGATTGATGTGATGTTAAAATCGTCAAACATTGTATAGTTTAATTAATATTTTGATGGTTATTTATATTTTTTATACTGATATCAGTCTGACTTCAAATTCATTTTGATTCTACTTTATTCAGATAATAGGCCTATCAAATACGGTTTACTTATTATTCAAACAAAAAATGCAGAAACATAAAGAAATAATTATTGCTCAATAAAATACATTTATTCATTATCAAAAAATGCAAATTGTTTCATGGGTATATTTTGAATCACCTGTAGAGAAAAAAAATACAAAACAAGTACATTATTTAACAAAATTAAATTTAGAATATCGGAAGAAATTCTTCTATTTGAGACGTACTTATACCACGTCTGAAACACAAAAAAAAATTTTTAATAAAGGTGAGACGGTCTTTTTAATTGACTTTACAAATGTTATTAATTATGTTATCCCTTAATACTATAAAAATTACTTATATTTAGACATGTCCTATTAAATATCCCAAACCGACTCTGGTAGTACAGTACCATGCCTCAAAACACTAAAAAATTATAAAAAGCGTTATGATTAAGATAATGATAACACGGTCGTTATAATTTTGAACCTTACGGAATGTTACTTACGAAAGTTATATTTAAAATATAGTTACAATTACCTTTATTTGTAGACGTATTAAAAAAATGTGGTACCCTACCACGCATGAAACATGAAAATAAGTGAGACGGTCGTTTTATTGTGATACAAATATTATTTATATAAATAATAAATAATATTTTGAATATCGCCGAGTGACGTATTTGAAATTCAAAACATGAATGTGTTGGGCTGCTACGTCTGAAACTTACTCACAGTTACGTAAATAATAATGAGACGATTGTATTATTTGGAAATATTACAAACTTAATTAGACGATTTTCATTTTCTAAAATTAACTATGTATTCAATTACCGAACTTCTATTCAAAACTCTACTAGTCAACCACGCCTAAAACACCCTCCGTACTAATAACAGTAGAGACAAAAGATTGTATTCAGATTATGTGACAGTGCTCCAGGAAAAGTCATAGCAGAACTCTACAGAAGTAAAAGATTGTGAATAAACAACTTTACAAGCCCACATGACCATTCGTAGACTGCAAGTTCCGATTTTTACCAGGAATCTTATGCTGAGTAAAATCATTCACACGGTAATTGGAGCACTCGCGGAATAAGGACGCTCACTTTTTACTCGTGAAACGCGCCCAATACATGCGAGTAATGTCGAACGTTCTGTAATCATTACTGTAGAAAACTAATTTCAGAGTGTTTACGAAAAATGCACAAGGCCAAAATAGATGAACTTTTTTAGTATAAGGCACTTCCTCCTTGCAAAGCCAATATGTGTGGTCTCACCACAAAATGAGATATTTACCAAAATGGGTCAAATTCAAAACTCTGGAGGGGAAAAATTTTTGATATGTTGTAGCACTGATTTTTCTAAGACAGTCAGGGGCGGATCCAGAAATGTCCAAAAGGTGGGGGGGGGGCCGGGCCGGAAGGGAGGGCCGAAAGTTGGTCCGATTGAGACAACACTGTCGTAGGGGGTCCGGGGCATGCCCGGGCGAAATTTTTGTGTTCTAGACGCCCGAACATAACATTTGAGGCATTTTGGGCTATCATTTTTTTCTTTTTTTACCTCGGCCCCCCCCCCCAAAAAAAAAAAAACTGCCCCTGACTGTTGTCTGACGAAAACTGGAGAACGGTGAATGAAATGAAAAGGTGTAAAAAAGGCGTAAAAATGCGGCTTATGCCCCTTTTTTCCCCAGTTTTAAATACACTGCACTTATTGATGTTTCTGAATACATTCTTAATGATCTTGACAATTGGTAAAGTTAATGCTGCTATTTCTTTGCTTTAAAATTTAAAAGAGGCTTGTTGACCATAAACTGTTATAGACAGGTCCCAGCCAAGGATAAACTGCCATTTTTTCCGGTCAAGGTTTTATCATCCTGACCCCATACTAAACTGCTGAGAAAACCTTGACCGGAAAAATTGGCAGTTTATCCTTGGCTGGGACCTGTCTATATAAAACCTTTCTTCTTCTTGTGTATACCAATTTTCCAATTTTTTTTGTATATAATTACTTAATATTTTTTTTTTCATATTTTTTAACTGTTAACTGGACCTTAAGGAAGAACAATGTCAAATTGATGAAGTATCCAGAATAAAGAAAGATTTCTATATATCCATCGTTCCTTTAATGACAGTTCATTGACTCCTTTCAGACAAACCTGTTAGTAAAATGTAACCATTAATAGATGGGAATTTGTTTTTAAAACAGAGGTCCATCTGTATCAGAATTACAAGATGTATTCCATTTTGTTTCATTTATTATTTCCAGCCAACATACAAAACACTTGCACTAAGAGCTAGTAGTAGTTTCAAAGGTGAATACCATGAAACTACAGCAGCTTGTTATGTACTGTAGAGTAAATCATGTTTTCTTTGCTCTTGCAGGCAGAGGAAGACTTGCAAGAAATCCGCCTTCTGATAACCAGTCAACAAGAACTGTTGAAAATGCAGTTTTTACTCCTAGAACAGAAGTACTTAGAATACCTTGAAGATGGTGAGCTTAATGAAGCTCTGCATTGTCTACGCCATGAATTAACTCCGCTTAAGTATAATTCTGAACGTGTCCATTCACTAAGTAGGTTAGTTGGCTTTCTATATATCTCACTTTATTCAATTTAATAAGACGTAACAAGAAATATTTCCTATAAAAAAATGCCGCAACATCTTTACCTTATCCAATTTTTTTATACAGCTAATTCCAAATTTATCCTATGTGTGAATTTTGTTATTTAGCTTATTGATTGCCTCAAATTATTTGGATTTTCATTGTAATATTTCAGCATATTTTGATTATTATTATATTTATTTGTATATTTAACATTATTTTTGTTCACTGTTGTTGACTGACCTGGTTGTGTGGTAAGTTAATTACGTTGATAACCTTCAGAGGCTTCATCATCAGCTATTGTCAGTCCACTGCTGGACATATGTCTCAGGATGTCGATGCCAAATCAATTTCTCTCGCTTGCTGTGTTCCACCATTTCACTCTTTCTCAATAAATGTCAGTCTCATCTCTTAATCTTTTACATTGTTTTCCCTTGTTCGTTTTGCCATCCATGGGTCTGTTACTGTTTTTAAAATTTTTTTTTTAAAGAGCCATAATACTGAACTAAAATTTATTTACTGTATATTCCATGAAAATGCTTGCACCTATGGCTGAAACATAAGCCTTAGCCACTTGTCAATAATGCAATTTGGGGTATATATACATGGCTGCAGTATTCTCCCCAGGCCCTTGAAACATCACGGTACAGTGACGCTTGGGACTTCGTGACACAAGCTGGCCGTGACGCTTGATGCGTCTTCTGTGACGCTTTAAAATATCGTCAATAAAATAAACAATGCTGTCCATGTATCCTAGTTTGAAGAAGAGTGAGTGTGAAAATATTTTTAAACACAAAACAATGCTATCTTACGATTTTGGTTTATCAGCCTAAGTTCATGCTTGATCTTTTTGCGTTCATTTTACATTATCTTTACCTTGAGAAATGTCACATTCATTTAAAAACACGATCGTTAGCTTGATTCACACAAACTGTTTGCTTCAAAACTGCCCATGCATGTCCATGCGCATGCCCAGAACGATCTATCTGGATTTTCCTCTCACCACATGTACTTCTCTTGACAGCGAAGTCACAACGCGATCGTGTTTGTGTTAAAATAATTAGGCCTAGGCAATAGGCCCTATGTTGAATTTGTGTTTTTTTTTTAATACCTGTACGTTTTTAATATGATACTACTACTTTACAATGAAGACAAGTAAGTTTAGATAAGCGTTAGTCAATCTTGGCAGCCTATGTGGCCGATGTTTTGTTTAGCTATCTAGCTAAACAAAATTCAGCCCAGGCCAAGCAGTTTGAAGCTAAAATTTAGGCCTAGGCCTAAACTAAGTCGGTCCAAAATTGCCATCCTGTGGCAATTCTGGTACCATGATGCTTAACCCTCATCCTTGGGAGACCACTGCATGGCCGTCCGAGATTGGATACCGTTTCAATTTGGTTTGCACTCCTGCTGACTACAAGTTCAACAACCAGAATAAAAACCACTGAACCAATCTGCAATTTTACCATTATTGTTATTAATATTAATAATAATGATAATATTATTTTTAATATTATTTTATTTATTTGTATTCATCCCCCTGCCCCACTAGTTTTGGCTAGTCCATTCTACTACTGCCACCAGTTTGTTTCTATTTTTTATGGGTCGATAAAGCATGGGTACCATACGATAATAGTACCCTAACTCTCTTCAGCGTATGGCACCGTATTTTTCGACACAATAAATGGGGTAAATTGCTAAACCCCGCAAACCCACCAAAACACAGTGCAAACCCCATCCAAACCCTGTGATAGTGATTGAATCATGTAGTATAGGACTCACTTGGTATAGGACTCACTTGGTATATAAGTAAAAAAAAAATTGTAATGTTCCATTCGTACTAACCTACTTTTTGGGTAAAAATGCCATTTTTAGCCCACTCTCTGAGAGAGAGGGCTTATATGATGATTCTGAGCGAATTTTGAAGTCATTTGTTTTTCTATCTCTTCCTTCGTTTGTGACGCGATTAGGCCGATCTTGCAATAATATGGAAGATAAGGCCTGGGGAATTTAAAGTATGAAGGGTTTTTGCGAAAATATTGTTGGGAAATATGTGAAAAAGTCTGTTTTTATATCATATTTCTTAACACTACGGTGGGTTTCCTATGAAAGCGTGTTCGTCATTGTTCAGATAGCAAATCGCCTGTATATTCCACATTGTGTTTATAAACCAATCACGGCCTGGAATGGTAAAGCTTTTCGGCTAATAAATGCGTCTGCACGAGTCTATTTGGTAGCGAAGAATGAGCCGTTTTGTGGTGCTTGCAAGGGTGGGTGGTCTCTCCTCTGGGAGATAAACAATGTACACTACTGTAATGCAAGCTGGCCTAGAGCTAGAGGAAGACAAACTAGGCCTATAGGCTGGCTGGGTAGTACGTGTGTGTAATAATAGATCAGATAACAGGAAATGTAGGCTACAAGTTGCTTTTATGTGTATTAAACCACATAATATTCAAATTAGTTAGTAGCGATGAGTGTATGTGTGCAGCAAATTTCGTGTCAATGTACTGTAATGCAGGCTGGCCTGACGAAGACAAATAGGCTCACTGGGTATGTACCTGTGTGTAGGCCTAGGCCCTAGTCTAGATCAGATATACTACAGGAAATTAATGTAGGCTACAAGTTGCTTTTATGTCACCACTGTTTCAGTGCGGAAGAAAAGCTCTTACAGCGCCTTTCCTTATTTATGTTGGAACGAAGCCTCTGGGTGACGTCATCGTTTGTTATTGTTATCGAAATCGGCAAGCGAGTTTATCACGCTGATGCATGAAAACACATTACATATTAGCCCTTATTAAGTTAATGAGAATATTAAAACACGTTAATATTCTCGTATTATTTCACAATTAGAGGCTCAATCGAGTCCAGTATTCAGAGCCTAGAATGGATTCCCCTACGCCGGCGAGCGGGGAATAAATAGCAGACGAACGTTCATTGTAGAAAACCGTTTACGGTAAATCGTCAACTATTTTCAGATTATCTTTTCGATATTTTTTTACTACAATTACTAATATTTGTAAACAAGTTTTTAAAAAAATGTCGTTTTTTAATATATTAACGTAATTAATAAATTTCCAACCGACATAAATACAGCGGTTTTGTCACTCACGACTGTAACCGCGGTGCTAGGGATAGCTAGGCCAAAGACCTCCAGTTCATGGAAACTGGGTTGAAGGTCAAATGATGATATTTGAGTGTGTAAACAAAGCCAGCAGTGCGTGTCCATAGCTAGGCCTACTTAATTAGTGTAGCGCAGTACTGTTGGTATTTTGGGGCAAAAATCATTGATAAAAAGAGACACTCAATCATCAATTATGTCAGTTCAGTAATTTTATTGAATATATAACACAATTAGTATAATTAATATTTTTTCTCCGTCTTGCACCTGTCTCTTATACACATCTAGATGTGTATAAGAGACAGGGCCTATACACTGTATTAGCTTACAGTATATGTATTAATTTATTCAGGTATAAATACACAAAATATACAAAGGCTGAGATGAATTTATTTTATGTAAATTATTAAAATATTATAAACAAAATTGCAAGTATTAAAATACAGTATATCATTTAAAAAATACAAAACTTAATACAATAATAAATACAGTATATATAAAATATTAATTTTATTTTTAATTTTTTTTTTTTTTTTTTATAGATGGAATACCACACAACAGCTGTTGCAGGCATATGCTGCGCTTGTGGGAAAAAATTTCGATCTACAGCTCGTGTGGAAAAGGATAGAAAATGGGCTTCACGCGTGGATCTTAAATTAGCTACAACTTCATTTAACTACAATCACGAAATTTTTCCTTGCTTCATTTGCAGGAATTGCAACCTTCAGAGCTACAAGGATGGATGCAAACTGATCTTTAACTTTCGTAATCATTCTATTAGCAGCTGCATTACATGTTTTATGTACAGACAACAATCGCAAGCCTATACTAGAATCAAATACAAGAACGCTATAGAAGTAACGCCAAAACCCAATTTGCCATGTGACCATCAGCATCGTAACTTTAAATTACTAGCAATGAACAGTATTTATTCATGTTCTATCTGTGACAATGTTTTATGTCCAAATTACTTAGTACATGTGGACACAGCTTTTGTTACGATTGTGTGAACTCCGTATTTTGTACTATTTTACGGAAGCAAATTCCATGTTTTGTTTGTAATTATTTGTTGAATTTTAATAATTTCAACTTGCCACAAACTTTAGCAAAAGAGGCACTTTTTGCAGCTGAAGTGTCGTGTAATAATTGCGAATTAAAAATTAAATATTCAGAAACATCTAAGCATACATGCATTCCGAATGTGCAAGAATTTCAGCAAACAACAGAACTTTCATTTATGTCAAAAAAATTATTATATGCTGTTGAGACAACCACTCAAATTCACAAGTCAATTCAACAACTATCTGATAAAGTACTTCTCAAAAACCTGAAAGAAAATGATGGCCAGCACAAAATCCAAACATTTGGAAGGGTATGTATTATCCAATAGAACCATACAGTCACTCTTGTTATGAATTCATGTTTGCTCATTAGTTGGTGTAGGAACAATGTCACTCTGCACTGTCATTGAATGCGATTGTTTGAATACTTATTTTCAAAAATATTGCTTGTTTCATATTTCAGCCCAGAAAGGTTACTCTTATAACCAACACCACATATAAGAGTTCAGAAGTCTCCAAGAAAACACTAATGAAGCGAAACCGCAAGGTTGAAGATCTTGCCCGTCAAGTCAATAATGATGATGGTAAACAAAATATAATCAATCAGCTTCGGAATGCTTCATCTGAACATCTGATTGCAGCTGGTATAGAGAGTTCTCAAATGACGGTTGATAAGGCCCTTGCCTTGATAACAGACTGTAATGTCACATGGGAACAGCTGAGAAAAATAAAATGGTATGAATAAATAATACAGACCAATCAAATAAATAAAATTGTCAATCATTTAAATTTGGTGAGAATAACGTTTAATAAGTGTTTAGTAAGACGGATTTTAAGAGATAAAATTAAGTTTATAGAAAAAAAAAACTATTTAAAATTTATTCTGTATATTTACAGCTATTCAGCTTGTCGTGGTATCCCATCAGAAAGAAAGATTCGGCAGAGACAAAGAGAACTAATTGATGGCAAATTTGTAGCCACGACTATTCTAGAAGATGGAAGGAAAGAAATGGCAAAAGAAGTGTCGAGATGTGTCATAAGGCTGTCTCTTATACACATCTGAACTGTCACCTCTCACTTAGAACAACATTTAATGTAAGTGTATTTACAAATCATTGTGATACCTTTCTAATGGTCATCTACTTCAGGATGTATAGGTTGACATCAATACAAATTTAATTTGAATGCGTTAATCTGTTTCGGTTGTTTTTTCAGCTTGGTTTGCTTAGGTTACACTCTAGGATAGATTGTATTTTCTGTTTTTCTGTTAAGCGCATAGAGACCGTGTATTATGTGCTATATAAGTCTCCAACCATTACCATTACTTCTGTAAATAAAAAAAATTGAATACTGTATAATTATGATTTAATTTTGCCGGCTGAATAATCTTGTGCCACACAATGGAGAAATAAGGCTGAAATTTTGGGGGGGATCAGGGGGGGTGGGTCAACTAAATTTGAAATACAAATTGTCAACATAAAAAATCCAAATGCAACCAGAAACGTTGTAGTCGTTCTCCTGTTTGAGGCGCCAGATTGCATGTTCAACATAGAGGCAACCTTGCCAAATATATCGCATGCAATTGCAAAAATGGATGGGACCAAATGGAGGTAAATAATGCATTGAAAAAGATATTTTTACAATTTTGTGTTAGTAAAAGATTTACACTCTGTAAATTATACAATTTTATACTCTCTTTTTAAATTTAAGTCAATAAATTTCATTTAGCAATCTAATTGAATTGCTGATTGTTTTATGTTATTAATACACAGGGACTATACTCTAAGGCTGTTTGGTTTCGGCGACTATGCCTACCTTACAAAGCTCTATGGGTAATGGTAAGCACTTTAGGGGTTGATATACAGAGTACAGTACTTATTATTTAGTAAGGATTGTCGTATTCATGAATGAATGAATGGGCTGCTATCCACAGCATTTATTGGGTCTAATATAAAATATATCAGAAAATTGTCTTTAGTACACTACAATTAATATAGAAAACATATAGAATATCAAAACATCAAAGAACATCAAAACGGACAATATCAAAAAATATCAAATTCAAATACAATGTACAAAAGGGAAAGTTTAAAGTTCATAATATCAAGAAGAATTATATTAGAAAGATAAAGATTATTATTACAAAGAATTACATTAAAAAAAATCCATACTGCATATAGAAGTTGAAAAATGGTATTGGCAGTTTAATAAAATTTATTGTACATTCTTCCAAAAGGATGTTATCCGTGCCTTTATTGCACACAAACTGCGAAGGAAATCAAAGATGGAGAAACACCAACAGAACACCGGACATTAAAGCAAATAAACAATGATTATGCAAAATTTATAGAAGATGGAAGAAAGGAAATGGCCAAAGAAGTATCAAGATGTGTCATAAGGAAGCCCTTAGTAGACACTGAAATTGATCATGTAAGCATTCTGTGTCTAAAATTCGGCATACAATTCATATTTTTAAGGGTTAGTTATAATTATAATGTATTTTACATTTCGTTTTAGGTTTCTGTTCCGTCTCTTCATGTATCTTTGGGGATTTTCAAGAAGCTATATGAGAAGCTGGAAACAGATGCCCATGAAATCGACATGATTGTATACAATTCTCAAGTAAATATTGCAAAAAATGATGATGATGATGATGACGATGATGAATTAGATGATTTCAGTGAGCGAATAAAGATTCAAGTAAAAGAAAAATCAGGTAACTAAGTACAGTAGATATGTATTTACCTTCAATCATTCTGCAGTTGGACACTGTGACGACTCCACTAGGTTCGACCTTGTATCCATTTTTTCAAATTATCTGTAATTAGTAAGAAATTTAGTTACGGCTGTAATAATATGTTATAATTTACAGATTTGAAGCAAAAGAGAGAGAAACTGATAGAAGAAATTGAAGATGGGCTTCCTAAGCTTCTACCAAGGAGATGACAAAAAATCTATTGAGAAAGAAATCAAAAAGATAATAAAGGCAAAGGAAGAAATGTCTAAAATTGTATGTACTATTAAGAAATTGTATGTATTGACAAAATAACCATAGGAAAACCTATTTTAATTTGATTAAACACTTTTTTGTGAAACTATGCAGTCTGATATAATGTATTGGTTGAAACAGTATTAACAACTCATTATAACAGACTGCATAGTTTCACAAAAAAAGAGTTTAATCAAATTAAAATAGGAAAACCTATTTTAATTTGATTAAACACTTTTTTGTGAAACTATGCAGTCTGTTATAATGAGTTGTTAATATACTGTTTCAATCAATACATTTATATTTTTCAATAGGACAAACTTCTAGATAATGACTTGCCATTTGGCACAGGCCCCATCGTTAATGCACTGGATGAATTTCTGCAACGTAACAAAATTCAACGGCAACAATATCATGGAAAGGCTTTCAATGGCAACCATGTGCATAAAGCACTACAGGTACAGTTGTTTTTATTTAATTGTATTGTATAATAAATTGTAATTATAAACAAGCAATAATTACCATTATCAATTAATAAATATTTTTATTATTAATTTCATTAGGTTCCAGTAATACATGATTTATTCAAAGTTCCAAAAGAAGTTGTAAAAAGCAAAATAGAAGATAAGATTGGCATTGGAAAAATGAGGCTAGTAGCCACAAAATTAAAGAAGCTTGAAGAAATCAAAGACCTATTTTTGCTATATGGAGAAGTTCACAATAGCATGAACCATTGCAACTTCATGAATGATGCAGAAATTTATCATCTTGGTAAGTATATTCATTAAAACCTTATATAATTATGGTTTAAACCTTGGTATACAGTTTAATATGGATTACAATTTGTCTTTTTATTTACAGCAACATACATTAAGAAATTTATGGTTTCATACAGAACAACTGGGATGTCAGTGACGCCAAAATTACATATGCTTGAGCAGCATGTGATAGAACAAGTGAAAAAATGGCACTTTGGGCTTGGCCTACTTGGAGAACAGGGCGGAGAAGCAATTCATGCTGTGTTCAACAAACGAAGACGGTTTGTTAGTGGAATGCCTGACAAAGCCAAACAGAATTTGTCCATAATGAGGGCACACTTCACAACAACGATACCCGTTATACAAAATGAGGTTGTGCAGCCAAAGCGGAGAAAACGCGGTATGAATACCAGTTAACAGAGCACTGTACAATTAATTTATATTTTTAGCATGTTATAGTACTGTAATCATATTTAATTAGCAAGTAAATTAAAATACAATTTTTTACATTGTACCTTTGTTTTTTACAGCAATCGCTGAAGAATAAACCAAGTGTCCAATGCTACAGTGTCAGTCACCAATGAAGTGAACCTGAAACAATTTGAATGTTGATTGATATATTTGTTGATATAAATCGTATATGCTATTTTAGCAAACAGTGATGGCATTTTGTGTGTTAACATTGTGATACAGTATTCTCCCAATTGACAAATTTTTACTGGTAAATTTGTCCGTAAAAATTCAGCAATGCACACAGTGTGAGGTGTTACCCCTTTTGAGTGACTTTCTTAAAATAACTTTTTTGATAATGACTTGAAGAGCACCACATATATTCATAACCTACTGTTGGCATATATTGGAATGATGTTAATTCATTGAAAGAGGGCCAGTATCGACTACCTAGGCCTATCAGTATTTTTTTCTAAATTTTACAAAACTCTAAATTTTTACTGGTTGGCCTGTTATTTTACTGGAAAAAATTGATGGCTAAAACGGCTTCGGGAGAACACTGTGATACATTTTTTTAACTGGTTGGGTAACTTTAAATTTTAGCATAGTGCATATTGACAGTTTTCATTGGTTAATGCAGGGCCGCAACGACTCTACACACGATCAACCTAATATAATGTGTACATTATTATTATGCCTACCAAGTGTTTCTAATTCAATGTTGTTTTCACCTGATGTTTGGTTCAACGACTGTCCAATCGCTGGCACTACAGATTTTGAATGTTGATGATCGTACAAAACTGAAATAAACAGATAAATGTTTTAACGTTATAAGGTGTCGGATTTTTTTTCACAACTACCTAACAAGAACAATTTGTAGTGTTCGAACAAATAATGGCACATGTTTATTTATTAGATTTATCACATTAACCTACATCAAAAACTTGGGAAATAGGCCTAGGCCTTGATGCGGAATTTTTTTTTTGCCCTATAAATAATTACGCCAACTTCTTTAAAAAAAAAAATGCAATTTTGTGACTTTTTTTAAAGAACAATGAAATTGAACCATTTTTTTACAATATTTACAAATAAATATTATTGCTAAATAAAAAACTTAATTTTTTTTTTCATGTGCCTTAATCCCTAGCCTATGTATATTCAGTCTTTAGCACTAACCTCTATTATAATAAATTTGCTTATTTATGATGAGTCTGACTAGGCCTAGACTCCCCCCACCCAGTCTATACATGTCAATGGCCTAGAGCCTAGGCTACATAGATTACAGAAATTATATCACTAGGCCTAGGCCTATGCCTACCTAATTCAAAGTTTGTCTACATTGGTAGGTAGGGTAAGTGTCAGTCTCCAACATTATACCGTATGGTCGTGAATGTTGTACACAAGACCATAGCCCACGTGTACTACTAACCTGCTGGTGCTGCACACGTTTTTTACACGGTACAAAAAAACGACATCACAATTTTTTTATATATAATTATTCAAGTGTTATATTAGACAAACCTACATGCCTTAGTAAAAAAATAGTTGACGATTTCGAAATTCATGCTTTTCAAGTTTACAATAAAATTGGCGGCAAAAAATATATTTAAAAAATTGCAAAATTCCACCTACCTTCTCATATTATTTTCTACGCTTTTCAAAATGGAAAGACAAGCATGGTTAGGCTATTGTGAAGTTTAAAGTCCCCGGATGATGACATCATCGAAACTTTGTTTTTTTTTTCGAAATCTAAGCCTTGTGATTGGGCAGTATTGTTTACAAAACAAAGCACCAACTTACTTCCGGGTCTGTAAACAGCGCCCGCTATAACAGCTGGAATACGATTTGTACGCAAACTGAAAACTGAGGGCGTGCTACTTATTTTCTATAAATTGCACTGCATGAAACAGTGGTGATGTGTATTAAACCACACATTCAAATCAGTCAGTAGCGATGTGTGTATGTACAGCACATTTCGTGTTGCCGCACTGTGGTGTGGTTGATGACGAGGACATTGCCGTTAAAAACAAGATAGCAAGGTCCCACATGGAATTTTTGCTCTTGGATGATTTTCCTTTACATATGAATTTTTTAGCTTTTCGTACTCTACACTTGGCTATCCGTAGCCAACCACATAGGCCTAGGTACGTAATATATTAGATCAGATGTTAATTACATAAAATATAGGCCGACAGTCGTATTTAATGGGGGCGGAGTGGATTTCTTTTTTCGCTATTTACCATGGGATGGCTACTGTCATCGTTGCCTAGACTTATAAACGCCGTTGTCCATATGGTAATGATGATCGTTCGTGTACCTGTTGACTGATGAAAGGCGTAGGCTACGCCAGGCTTAAGCCAGCCTTACGCCGTGTGTGTGAACATGGCCAAAGGCGTAGGCTACGCCAGGCATAAGCCAGCCTTACGCCGTGTGTGTGTGAACATAGCCGAAGCATGATTAAAAGTGCTTTCATTTTCAATGGATTACATTCCATTCCAACCATGGTATAACCAGTCGATGGATAGCCCAGTAATGAGATAATTTGTTTAGATTTCACAGCGTATTCTATGTACCTCCTCCATTTATTTAAAATTGAATTATTAAAACATTGCCTTTAATTTAGTAATGTACTAGTATATCATCTAGTAATGTATATATTTAAAAACATTGGGCAAGTATTCATACTACTTAATACAGTGTATATATATATGTATGTATGTATGTATGCATGCATGCATGCATGTATGTATATGTGTGTATATATGTATGTACACTGTATGTATATATGTATGTACACTGTATGTATATATGTATGTATATAAGAAAGTATAATACATACTCCAAGTATTGAAATACACGCCATCGTGTTGGGATTCAATATTTCGACATTAATTATGTCATCATCAGGAATGAAAAATTATCCATATTAGCAAGCTTATATGCACTAGTACCAAAAGTGTTTACCAATCAAAACATTACCTCTAGTAGGTGACATAGCAGTGATTTAAACAAGAGACCAAAGCATTCTTACTCTAATGATCAAAGATACCTACAAAAATAAAGAAAGCTCTTTTGAAGCTCTGAGCCCATTGTTAAGCTAAGGGTGTAGTCTACGTATAGCGAACACCTCTTTAAACAATAGGATAGACCAGTTTCAGGAGCTGTCAATAATGTTAGTATTAGAAAATATTAAACCTAATTTATTACTTACATTTACAGACGACATTTTCAAGTATACCCTGTAATCCAAAACAAATTGGAATGCCTCACAGTTTTTAACATACTTGAAAATAACACTATCAGATCGTGAAGAATGTTCTTTAAGTCTAGTTATTAAGCACCTATCTGTCTTACCAATATAATCACTATTGCAGCCTGGACA